GAATACGAAAGTCCTTGGCTTGTCTAATTATTTTTTACTGAGTACACCATCAGACTTTTCTTTTTTTTAAAGGAGTGTTATTAATCTCTCGTTCACTTACTTATTTTAGATAGGGCTTTGCTGTGTCACAGTGCTCCTGCCTCAGTGTCCTGAGTAGCTGGGACTGTGGGTGCACTCCGCAGCACCTGGCTTTTTAGGGAGGCCTTGAATTGAACCTGGCATCCCCTGTTGCCTCTGCCTGTGAGATCGCAGGTGTGCCATCCTGAGCAGCTGCTCTGCGCCTGCTTAGTTTTTAAGATAATTTCTTAAGAAAGTTTGTTGCAAGTAGGTACAAGTCATCTCTGAGAATTGAGAGATGCCTTTGTTATATAGAAATCTCTTTTTAAAAGTTTTCCTGGAAGTATATTTTCCTCTTTAGAGTGCTAGCAGAACGTAGTAACACAAACATACGTGGCTATTTTCTTGATGTCTCCGTTAAAAGGAAATTTCTCTTTTTTGTTGAAAAAGGTTTGACTTCTTGTCTTTCTCTTCCCACTCCAACCATTGTTTGCAGTTGCTCTTCTGTTGACCTTGTTCCTGCTTGGTTTTCACACCGACCCTTCACGTTGTGTCTAGTTCCTAGACCAGTGCTTGCCCTAGACTAGTCTTGTACTATATTAATGTGTCTCAATCTCCTCCTTAGAAGTGGAATTTGAAAAACACCCCTAAATTAGTAAATAATCAGGAATTTTCAGCATTGATAGGTACAAAGTTTTCTATCCCACCATGACATTTACCTTTCCTTTGCATGGGCTAAGAAAGTGCTCGCAAGGTAGATTCAGGGAACGAATGCAGATCTAACTGACATACAGTCCAAAATACTGCGCATGTCAAATACATACTTTCCTCCCAAAAGTGGTTTTGATTCTGATATTGTTAGGATAAGATAATATACTGTCACTGCAAAAAGTGTGAGAGTTTGGAGACACGTTATAGAGAGTCCTTCATGATCCCCAACCTCCAAACTGTTACCATCTCTGTTAGTGGTGTGTGCATGGCCAACGTTTTCTAGCCTGTAGAATGAATGATTGATCACATAATTATTTTGTTTTGTTAAAATGAGTGTGCAACACTTTGCTTTTCTCGCTTAATATATATAAATATATTTTATAATTATCTGTTTAATTTTTTTTATTCATTCGGTGATCTTAATTTGACCAGAGAGAGAGAGAGAGAGAGAAAGAGAGAGAGAGAGAAAGCAAACCACCAGGTCCAGGACTTGAACTGCTGTCTTCCATGTGGGAGTGTCCAGCACCTCAACCACCCCACCACCTGCTGGCCCCATCACTTAATGTATTTTTAAATTATTCCATCTCATTACAATTGATCTACTTCATTCTTTTTTTTTTTTTTCTTCCCCTAATTTAAGGTATTTGCTATAGGGCATGTATGCTTGTTGGAGAGACAAGAAAGAGGATAAGTGAGAAATTACCCCTCAGAGGGGATGGCCACGCTGAGGGGTAATTCCCTTCTCCATTTTCCTCTGGAAATTTTGGGCACGCATGCACAGGCTCCCTGCCTGATTTTCAAGCTGCCGAATCTGGGACTTGAGCTATGGTCGGCCATGTGGGAGTCCAGTGCCTTAACCACCACACCGCCTTCTGGCCTCACTTAATTATTTTTAGTGGCTGATTGTGTTACTGTTTGGATGTATACAGTTTAGTTCACCAATTTCCTATTCGTTCCATTCACTTATGTTGCTTTCAGTTTCTAGTACTCATCAGCATAGATACAGACAACATCCGTTACATCCATTTTGCATACTTTCTACAAGCTTCCTTGTAGGATATTATCCTTACCATATTGTGTGTGTTGCAAATATTATATTTTGGCTTGTCTTTTGATTTTGCTGCTTTTTACTAACTTCACATTAAATATAAAAGATAAATAAAATGATGCTTCTGTGGCTGGTCACTATCTAAGAATAGCTGAAATGGTAGGAACAATATCTGTTTTTGGTGCTACTGTTTTAAAGCAAACCGTGAAGCTACTTAACGATTTTAGATTATGGCCATTTTAATATAGGACATAGGAGGTTTGGTACAGTAAAAACAGTATTCGAGGTTGACTTTCTTTAGGCTGAAATTTTAGTTTGGATCACCATTCCTGATATACTGTTGAATTACAATCACAACAGTTATTCAGTGATAAATTTCTCACATTTTAGGAATGAGAATTCAGTCTATACTGACTCTGTTTAAGATACATGAGCATTTCTCCAAAAAAAGTTTGAGGGTGAATTGAGATTATGTAAATCAGTTTTAATGTGTGCGTTAATGGTGTTATGGAAGAAATCCTTTTTTTTTTTTTTTCCTCCATTGCCAGAGTGTGCATGGCATCACCAGAGAGATACAGAGAGGAGAAAGTACCCGTTCCCAGTGGGGTGTAGTCACACCACAACCCCTCCCTCTCCATTTCTTCATTCTATGGAGGCACACACAAACACACACCTGGCAGTTTTTTCAAGCATTGGGGCTTAATTTGAACCATAGTCAGCCATGTGGCATACAGCTCCCTTCGCTATGGGGTTAGCCCAAGAAATCCTTTTATAAAGCACATAATCAGCTCCTAATCTATCTAGTGGATAAATATGTACTGAGAGTGCGAAATACATCTTTAATTGTTTAAATTTTTCAATGACAGTTGCAAGTAAAATTGCCCCACAGTATTACAGTGTATTTACTTAGGATTGGGGGACCGATCTTACAGACTCTTTATACTTTGCCTGTATACCCTGAATGTGGGAAGATTTGAAAAAAATTTAAGTGCTTTTGATCCTATGAACTTCATATACACATATAACCTGTGTGTTATATTAAGTCTAAAAACTAACCCACTAAGCTTTTTTTCTTCCTGGCTTTGTAGTTCACTTCACCTCGCAGTGGTATCTTCTGAGTAAACCATCAGTCTGTGCTTAGTTAGCATGTGGTGAGTGAAGAATAATATGTCTTGTGTCTTTTTTGTGTGCAAAAAATCCAATGTATTGCATGATACTAACCATTTTGCTGGAATTACTTTGCTTTTGCTTAATGAACATATGATTATGCGGTGGGTTAATTTATTTTCCATTAATTCTGTTTTATAGAGTAATAACATGTAAGTGATCACCACCAGTAAGAATGATATAAATTTAGGAAATTATATCTTTTAAAATAATAGCTGAAAATTTTAAAGTTGCTCTTAGAAATCATCTTAAGGAATCCAAATACCTATTTCTGTATCTCATGTTCCTCTTTGTTTCTAATTTCCCAAGAATGGTCTTTGAAATTAATAAAGATTTTGAGAGAGAAATGAAAAATTATTTTCTATTAATAGATGAAAGTAAAATGTTACCTTTCATGAATCCAGAATTTAAAATTCTGTAAAGACTAATTAGAGTCAAGATTAGTCTGAACTAATGAAAACTAGTAAGCTTGATTATAAAACTAAATGTGGTTTTCTTGCTTCCTGGGGTCATACAGTTAAATACAGGTAACACGTTTGTCCGGAGGAGACCTGTAGGAGCCTGCTGTGCTCCGATGGGGCTGTTCCGGAGTATTCCATGATTGCAGTGAATAGAGCCATCGGAAATGCTTCAAGATAGTTGAATCTTTACCATTTAAACTTCCTCCTCTCACCTCCACATTTTATTCATGCCATTACCTTGATTTAGCACACCCTAAAAATATATCTTCACCTCACGCTTTGCCAGAATTTTCACAGATCACAAATAAATAAATAAATTGAATCCCAAGCAGTAGGACTCAGTCATAATTCAGATAAAGATTCCCCATGGTTAATCCAGCCAATATTCAGCTAATAGTATCAAGGTTTAAAATGCCAGAATACAACATTTCTTCTCCCCTCCCCCATTTTTAAAAATAGCGTTTCTTTTTCTAAGCCTATAACTCAGATTTTTTAAATTTGAGTCTTCTTTTGATTTTAATATATAGTCATGCATCACTTGTGACAGGATGTCGTCTGAGAAATGTGTCAGTAGGTGGCTTCAGCGTTGTGTGAATGCCAGAGTTGACCTGCACAAACCCAGATGGTGCAGCCCGCTTTACATCTGTCCTGCATGGGATAGCCTAGTACTCCTCGGTCACAGCCTGTAACCAGGCTCCTGCACCAGATATGCAGACAGTTACAACACAGCAGTAGGTGCTTGTGTATAAACACGCCAAAACATAGAGGAGGTGCGGTAGATGTATGGTGTAACTGATTAAGGAAAGATCAAGGTACATTTGGATAGGGCCCTTATGAATGGAGCTTGCAGGACTTGAAGTTGCTCTGGGTGAGTTCGTGAGAGAGGTGAGTAAATGTGAAGGCCTGGGACCAGCAGTTAGTGTAATGGCTATGTCGCTGGACTCCCATGTAGTCGACCGCGGTTCGAGTCCCAGACCAGTGGCTTATACTCACACTGGGTGCGTGTGCGTGCGTAGCCAAAATCCCGAGAGGAGAATGGAGGAGAAGGGATTGCGGCGTGGCCATCCTCCCTGGGGGGTGATTTCTTGCTTTCTGTCTGTCTGTCTGTCTGTCTCTCTCTCTCTCTCTCTCTCTCTGGCGAGTGCACACACCCTGTAACAAAAACCTCTCAAAAAAAGCAAAAAAAAAATGAAGGCCTAAGACATTGTTAAACACTATTGTAGACTTTTTACACTGTAATTAGGCTACACTAAATTTATAAAAGGACTTTTTCTTTCTTCAATAATAAATTAACCTTCGCTTACTCTAACATTTTATGTTATAAACTTAAATTTTCTCCTCTTTCCATTTGTATTTGCTCTCCTTTTGACAGAGAGTATGTATACTCATCAGAGAGAAGGAGAAAGCACCCCCATTGGGGTGTGGCCATGCCACACACAGTCCCTTCTCCTCATCTCTCTATCCCATCAAATTTGGGGCATACATGTGCATGCACTCAGCTTGTTTTTCAAGCTGCCAGGGCCAAGATGTGAACTGTGTTGGGCCATGTGGAATCTGGCTCTCTTACCAACCAGGCCACAGGGACAGCCCTATAAACATTATTTCCTTTAACTCTTTTTATATAAACGAATTAAAACACAAATACGTTATACAGCTATGTAAAAATATTTATATCCTATTTGATAAGTTTTATTTCAGATTTTAACCTTTCAACTTTTTCGTTAAAAATTAAGACAAACTCACAGAATTGGCCTAAGCCTTGACAGAGTTAGGATTATCAACATCATTGTCCTCTGCTTCCATATCTGGTGGCTATGGAAGGTCTTCAAGGGCAGTAACACTTGTAGAGCCATCATTTCATGTGACAACAGCCTTCTGAATCCCTCCTGAAGGAGTTACACTTGCTTTTTATTTAACTTGCTATAGGTGTGGACCTTTGCTAGAGAAAGAGAGAAAAAAAGGGAACGGGAGAGAGTAGTTCCTCAGGGGGATGGCCATGCCACAATCCCTTCTCCTCCATTCTCCTCTTAGGATTTCGGGCACACATGTGCACATGTCTGGTATGTTTTTCAAGCTGCTAGATCTGCGACTTGCACCGCACAGTCCACCATGTGGGATCCAGTGGCCTTGACCACAGGAGGCCACCAGCTGGCCAAGGACGTATACTTTATATGACAGGCAGCTCGGTAGATGCATTGACACCAGGGGGCCACTAACATCTGAGTAAGGAATTGTTCTGTAATGTATGTGGCATCCATAGGCGATAGGACGTCTTCAGCCCCATTGTTTTCTTTCTTTTTGGGGGAGAGGTTTTTGCTATAGGGTACATGCACTAGCCAAAAAGACAGAGACAGACAGACAAAAAGTGAGAAATCACCCCCCAGGGGGGATGGCCATGCCCCAGTCACTTCTCCTCCATCCTCCTCTTGGGATCTTGGGCTCACATGCACATGAGCCTAGTGTGAGTTTAAGCCACTGGATCTGGGACTCCAACCGTGGTCGACCACATGGGAGTCCAGTGACACTGCCATTCCACCAACTGCCGGTCCCAGCTCCATTGTTTTCTTAATGGACCATCATCTTGTATGTGTCCATCCTTGACTGAAATAGTATATGCAGTGCATGACTGCGTATCGTTTCATTTGCTTTAGTGATTATCTAGAATTATCTCGTTGTGCCTGTTGGCTGCATTGTAATAACTGACAGTGAAGTTCATGGTTTTATTAGGTTACTTTTATAATAAGTATGTAAAAAATTAAATGTGAATCTCATATCTAACTCCTTAAATTGTTCCCCTCCCCCCACCCCAAGAGATTTTTTTTGCTATAGGGTACATGTGCTTCCCAGAGAGACAGATAGAAAGTGAGACGTCACCCTCCCCCCCCCCCACCCTGGGCTGATGGCCACACCACAATCTCTTCTCCTCCATTCTGCTCTTGAGATTTTGTGCACGTATGCACACACACACACCATGTGCGAGTTTCAGTCTCCTGGGTCTGGGACTCAAACTGTGGTCAACCATGTGGGAATCCAGCGCCTTAGCCACTACACCACTTACTGGGCTCTAATTAAGTTTTAATGCTCCTATCATTGTTACTATCCCTCCATTGCAGTCAAATACCATCATTTAACACTGTAAAGATATAAATACTACATGGGATTTCTGTTGATTGATGATCATTTCAACTTTTAATTTGAAACATTTCAGACACAAAATTTGCAAAACTAGTACAATAACACCAGATTCCTTCACCTAGATTTACCAGTAATTAACACTGCCAGATTTGTTCATTTGCGCTCACTCTTGACCTCTCTGCATGTGTTTTATTCCTTTGTAACATTTGACAGTTATTTGCAAGCATAAACTAAATACTTATCATGTATCTTTAAGAACAAGGACATTTTCCTATAATTATCACACTCAGGAAATTTAAATTAACATAACACTGCCATCTAGTATATAATGAATATTTTTTCCAGTTTCCCAAATAATGTCTCCCATAATTTTTAAATTCCTAGATCTACTCAAAGACTGTACATTGCATTTAGTTGTTTTTTATTTTTTTGGAATCTCTGTTAAACTAGAAAAGTTCTCCCAGCCTTTTTTTATTTTTTATGACATTGGCATTCTGCAGCATTGTTGAATTATTCATGCATTTTGTTTCTATCAACAGCTCAAGCTAAGGTTTCAAAATACTAACTGACGAAAATAATTTAAAAATAACACGAGATCTTTTTCATATCTCTTTTAGGTTCGTAGGACCAACATATTTGTTGATCTAGGTTTATAAATAATACACTATTGGGCATACATCATGTGTATTGGATCATGTTCATTTACAAATTGAAAAAAATTTGAAAACTTCCTCTTTCCTCTAAATATGTCGTATCTGTAATCTATTGTTGTGGCATTTTAAACCTCATACTTTATCTGGCTACTGGCTTTAGCATCCTAATCTGAGAAACCTTGTATCAAGAAGACTTTGGCATTGTTTCTCTTAGCATTTTAAATTGTTCATTCTAGATGCAGCATAGCTTTTCCCACCGAAATGCTTATCGTATTTTGCTGCGTGCATACCATGCTGGGAAAATTGTAGGACACAGGAAAATCATTGAGAAGCAGGGGTGAGCTCGTTCTCCTCTTTAAATCCAGTTTGAAGAGCTGCAACCTTGAGAGATCAGGCTGCTTTCTCCTGGATTTCTCTATGTCCTGTAGCGTTCAACACATGGAGAAAGGAAGAAGCTCCAACTTTCACTCTCACATGCTATTTTTTTTTTTTTTTTTTTTGGAGAGATTTTTCACTGTAGGGCGCGTGCGCTCGCCAGACAGACAGAGACATAGAGACAGAAAGCGAGAAATCACCCCCCAGGGGGGATGGTCACGCCGCAATCCCTTCTCCTCCATTCTCCTCTCGGGATCCTGGGCACGCACGCACACGCGCCCGGCATGAGTTTTAAGCCACCGGGTCCGGGACACGAACCGCGGTCGACTACGTGGGAGTCCAGCGACATAGCCATTACGCTAACTGCTGATTCCCCATGCTATTTTTGAAGCATTTAAATAGTCCAGCATTATTGGCTATAGGTCAATTTGAATCAACATTCCAAGAACATTAGTTTTGAGATTTCTTCAGGATTGAGTATTTACAATATTTCAACTTATTTACTGTAATCCTCAGACCTTAGCATACGGTTTTATTGTAACTTGGAAAAGCAAATCCCCAGAAAGTTGACTTTAATATGATTTTTCTTTTTCTCTTTTTTTCTTTATTTTCTTTTCCTTTTTCTTTTCTAGTCATGGCTCCGATCTTCATCTTGAAGAAATGGGAAGAGTGATGTTAGACAAATGCTGCTTGGAAAATTGTCCCCATTTACTGTCCTTAGAGAATGAAGCTGTCATTCAGGGTCCACCCGTAGCCGAAAGACCAAGAAGAGAATTTGACATTGGCCCACAGATAATTGCTGATTGCCTTTAAAATACATTTTATCAGTGGAGAAATCGTGATTGTTTTTTCTTTTTTCTTCAGCTTTCCATTGGGAAGAGTTTTATGTTGTTTAAAAGATATTTAAATAACCTGATTTATGGGGTCACTTAATGTTCCTTTCTTCCATTCTTTTTGTCCCTCATTTTAAAGAACTGCTTGTCTCTCCTATTTATTTTTAAGGTGATTTTTTAAAAAAAAGACTTGTGCAATACATTTTGAGGTGAAACTTAGTGGATTTTTTTCTGATAAATTAGAGCATTTAATTGCCTATTTTCTCCAGATTGACTTGTTGAATATTTGCTAAAGACTAGTTCTTGAAGCTATAACATATGATGAATCCCAAATGGCAGTACCTCATTGTTTACTTAGCTTTTGTACCTATATTTTTCAGAAGATAAAAAATACTACTGTAAATTGTAAATAGTCGATACATAACTGTATTGAATGCGAATCTGTGACTGTTGGCAATGTCATCCAGAAGAACAGATAAATAAAGTTTATTTACTATATAATACTTGCTTCTTTCTTTTTTTTCCCCTAAGTTGTAGTCTATTTCAAAATGGTTAAGAATTCTACTTCTGTGAATATAGAAGGATCTAGTTGTCAGAATAGCTAAGTATTGGGAGTACTTGGGAAGATATTTTTTTGTATGTTCAACTTAGTCTGACCAAGGAGGAGAATGGAAACGACACACTTCTTGGTTTCTCTGTGGTGGTTCTGCCAACTTGAGAATGTTTCTTCTGTCTGGAGTACACCGTATTGGGATTATTGTTATACTTAGAAATTTCTGGACACCGGGCCAGCAGGTGGCATGGTGGTTAAGGTGCTGGAATTCCCACATGGCTGACCATGGTTTGAGTTCTGGACCTGGCAGCTTGCTTTCTCACTCTCCCTCTCTCTCTGTCTTTCTCTGGGAAAACTCATGTGAAAAATAATATTAACAATAATAATAATAAATACTTCTTTTTAAAAAATTTTCTAGACACCAAGAGGCAGGAGCTGCTTTGCTTCACACATCCTTTGTATTCTAGGAAACAGCAGTGCTCAGTATCCGGGTATTACCTAGTGCCTGCCTGAGGTACTGTCTCGGTTGTGCGGCCAGTCTAGACCTTAGCTTAGGAGGTGTGTCTGACGTTGTGATAAAGCGTGGGCAGCTTGAGGTGGGGGCGGATGACCAAGGTGGAAGCCCATAACCCACAGCAGGATCCTTTACCATTCCAGTAAGAGAAGGGAGTCTTCTTGCCTTTCTAAGAGAATTCTGGTGTAAGACAAAAAAATGTAAAGAGCTCTTCTGTTCAAAAAGGGACCAAGAGGCCATCAGGGAAACTGAACTCAGGCACGTAAAAGTTGGCTAGTCTTGGGATGCGCACTCACGTCCCTTTGGGGCCAGGCCCCTCAAGACAAGGCACCTGAATAGTTCGAGCTACAGCCAAGACGTGAGTGGACTTTTTTGTTTCATGAACATCCTTGCTGCCCAAATACAGGGCTCTCTCTCACTGTAGCAAACAGACCCCACATAACCAGAAGGTCACCCCGTTCCTCTTACCATGGAATTCAGCCCGTCTTTGCTCTACGCGAGGCCTTGCTTAATTAACTCTTGGCTGATGTAAACGTGTGACAAACAATTGCATACTACCTTTGTGACATTTGCCTTTAAAATTACCCTGACACCTGTCAGACCTCGGTGCACATTATTCAGGACCACTTGGATGTTGTGGCACCTGCCTGGGTGATCGTCCTTAATCTTTGGCCCAATGAAGTGTCGCTTCACTCGCTTTGCCTTCGCAATCCTTTTCGGTCACTGGTTTCCTCACGTTGGCAGGGTGTTGTCATACTGAAGGGTCTCTGACAGTCACCATGACTTCTCAGCCTTTTCATGTCTTTTTTCTAGGCTGGAAGATTCTAGATTCTCAGTGAAATCCATATGCAACTTCCTCCATTTCTTTAACCCATTTATGGAGACAGACATATCAAAAAGAGCTGGAGGAACCAACATAACTGTTACTTGCTAGAACTCCCACATGGCTGACCACAGTTCAAGTCCTGGACCCAGCAGCTTGAAATTCATGCCAGGTGTATGCGTGCATGCCCAAGATCCCAAGAGGAGAGTGGAGGAGAAGGAATTGCAGTGTGGAATTGCAGTTTTTTGAGCTGCTGGAACTGGGATTTGAACCATATGATCAGCCACATGGAATCTGGCTCCCTTAACCACTAGGCTAGAGTCAGCCCTGGTGACTTTCCTTAAAGGCTTCCTGTTACTACCTGATCGATGCCCGGGAAATGCCAGAATTTTCCCAACAACAGATACAGGACATGTTTGAATTGTGGATTACAGTTTCTTGCTTTCTGTCTCTCTAGCGAGCACACGTGCCCTACAACAAATATGTCTCAAGAAAAGAAAAGGAAGCTACAAAAAGCAAGAAAATACCCCCCCATCCCACCCCCATAGGACGACCACGCTGCAGTCCTTTTTCCTCTATTGTCCTCTCGGGATCTTGGGCACGCACACACATGCACCTGGCGTGAGTTTTAAGCCGCTGGCTCCAGAACTTGAACTGCAGTCGAGTATGTGGGAGTCCAGTGACATAAGTATTATGCCGTCTGCTGGCCCCTCCTTTTCGTTTTCTATGAAAAGCCAACAAAAGATCTTTTGGTTTTCTTTCTCATGCTGAAAGAAGTTTAGGCTCATTGTAGACTAAATTAGGAAAACTATATTTTTATTTTAGATTTTATTTGTAGTTTGCCATAAGGTGCACATGCTTTCCAGACAGAGACAGAAACAGAGAAGGAGAGTGAGAAATCGCCCTCTAGAGGAGGTTGGCCATGCTGCAATCTCTTCTCTGTTCTCTTGGGATTTTGAGCATGCGCTTACGTGTGCTAGGCATGATTTTGAAGCTGCCATGTCTGGGATTTGTACTGTCTAGTCAGCCATGTTGGATCCTTTGCCTTAATCACCATGCCACTGGCTGGCCCATCTGAGAAATTACATTTAGAAAAAGAAAACAATTCTCTAGGATTCCTTACCAAGAAATCGTTTTTACTACTTCCGTGCTTTGAATCGTGGAGTAATTTCATACGTCAGTGGATGAATGCAAGAACGGGCCATGTGTGTACACCCATACACTTACATGTCTCTGTTGAGGGTCGTCGACATTCTTTGAAAGGATCTTTCATAATACTTTATCTTTCGTAATTACATGCCATAATTTAGCCTAGTGCCTTCTCAACATTTAAATCACGTCTAGCCACTTTGATTAAGTACTGTTCTGTGATAACCATTGTGTGAAAATGCTTGAAAAAACCAGTCCAGGACCGAAGTGGCTTTCTCCCAGCAGCCTGTGGGGCCCACAAGTGGGTGCATTTCAGATTCCGGCCCAGGTGTATTCGGCACCGTTTTCCCTGGCATTACCCAGATGTGAAGCATGGGTGAATATTCTGGGTCATGGTGTTTTTAGAACGTCACCTTTCAAAATGAGACCACCCATTGTAAGAGCAGAGACAGCTTCCTAAAATGTGTGGAGAAAAATGACCAGAAGAAGAAGGAAGCCAAAGAGAAAGATACTGCCTTCAACTGAACGCCAGCCTGCTCCCCCCAGAGAAGCACACTTGGTGAGAACCAGTGGAAAGGAGCCTGAGCTTCTGGAACCTATTCCCTATGAATGCATGGCACGATCCGTGAACTATTAAAAAAAAAAAAATTAGACCTCACCCAAATGTAAAGTGTCTAAGATGACGTTAGCAGTGGCTAAAGCATACTTTCTGTGCCAGCCTCGTTGGGTGATAGTTGGGGGTGTAGACAAGGCAATAACAGAAAGCCTTCCTTCCTTGAGCCGTTTTATTTATTTATTTTTTCTATTTCTTCTCACCATAATTTGAGATCCTTTTTAGTTAGGTTCCTATTGCTACATTCTTTTATTTATTTTTTGTCAGAAGACACGTGTGCTTGTCAGAGAGAGACAGAGAAAGAGAGAGAGGCCTCCAGTGGGACGTAGTCACACTGCAGTGCTTTCTCATTTCTCCATTCTGTGGGGATTTGGGGCACACACACACACACACACACACACACACACACATGCACCTCGTGTGTTTTTCAAGCCACCAGGGCCAAGATTTGAACCATAGTCAGCCATGTGAGATCTGGCTCCCATTTTCACCACTAGGCCATGGGGCAGTCTATGTCATTACGGTCTTTAGAAGTAACTAAACTCCAAACATACGTGAACATTGTCTGAATGACACTTCAGTAAACAGTACAATCATTTAAAAATTTATCATGAAGGCTTTTCTCTAAACCAGCCTGACATGCCGGTAATGGTTTCGGTCTCACTCTTTTCTGATTGCTCGCACCTCTACTGCAGGAAGGTGTCTTCTTGGTTGCCTCACAGCCGGACCGGGCAGCCTTCTCCTTTAAACTCAAGTGCGAGTGAAAATAACAACCAGGGCCAACACATTTATCCCTCGGAAGCCTTTGGTACGTGTCTCTGCTCTGTCTTCTACCACTGTCTGTTGGGAGTGGGTAGGACAGGTCATTTGTGTTTTTAATTTGTAGGTCTGCAAGAGAAGTTGAATCAAGATCTGGTGTAGATCATAATTCTGGGTGTAATCATTGAAAGAGACTTCTGAGAAAAGAAGACTATGTTTTGGAGGCAGCCAGAAAAAAAATTGAATATGATGCAGTGAGCAGACTGAGGTAGGTTGCTTTGTTGTCAGTTCACGCCCTCCCTGTATCGGGTTTTTGGTGTTTGTTTGTTTGTTTTGGTTTGGTTTTTAGGGATTTTTGTTATAGGGCACATGTGTTCACTGGAGAGACGGAGAGAGACAGAGAGACAGAAAGTGAGAAATCACCCGCCAGGGGGGATGGCCACACCGTAATCCCTTCTCCTCCAGTCCCTTTCTCTGGATTTTGGGCACGCATGCACACTTGCCCAGTGTGAGTTTTAAGCCACTGGGTGTCATTTGTTACTATAACAACCTAACAAAAGCTGAGTAGTGTATCTTGAAAATAAATCAGAACGTTGGAACCACCACC